GAGAATACAGGGAGCAGGAAGGAGGAGAAGGGGGAGCAGATTGTGAGAAGGGAAGGAATTGCTGAAGAAGAGCTCAGCACACAGCTGGCACTCAATAAATGCCCATTCCCTTCTTCAGGATAGATAAGAAAGAAGAAACCATTGCAGAGGAAAACAGAGGAAGAAAATCAGCCTAAGGAGTGGGGTAATGGGTAGAAAGTACTAGGTATACAGTAAGTGCTCTTTAAGTGTTCTCCAGGAGAAAGGAGAGGAAAATGTCAGTAGAGAGAACAAAGAGAAGAAAAGTTTTGGGGGAAGAAGATAATGTGCATAAAGTGGCTGGCACATAGTAAGTGCTTAATAAATGCCTGTTCCCTGCCCTGAGCACAGAGAAAAAAGCCAGGAGGAAGGAACAGAGCCTGTGGGGCGGGCGTCACAGGTGGATGGTGCACACCAAGGCACACACAGGAGGTGCTCAACACAGGCTCCAGCTGGGAGGAGGGAGCTGGGTCAGGCATTCAGGGAGGCATGGTGCCCAGGAGCCTGGCAAGAAGGGTCCTTGGAGGAGACCACAGGAGGGGAGTGGAGGGGGCTGGGAGAATGGGAGGGGAGAAGCCAGCAAGGGAGACAGCACACAGGGAAGGGCAGGTGCCAGCGATTCTTGGGGGTGTACAGGAGGCGCTAGATAAATGCCCACACTCAGAGTGGGGGAGAGAGAGGTGGGCAGAGTAAGAGGGGCGGAGAGAAAGAGGCAAGAGGAATGAGGTGGGATGCCAATGCCCTGAACAAAGCACACAATGGCCTGGCACACTAGTAGTGCTCAGTAAGTTTGTTCCTTGCCTTGGCAGAGGGCAGGGATCCCAGAAAGAAAAGGACAGGGCAGAGAAGAGGGCAGGGGAAAGTGCCCAGTACACAGTAGGTACTCAAAATGTGTTCATTCTCTCCCCCAGGAGAGGGCAGAAAGTCAGAAAGGAGAGGAAGTCAAAAGAGGGAAGGAAGCAAACCGTGGGGACAGATATAGGGAGGAGGAGCCAGTGTTTGTGTCTGGCACACAGCAGGTGCTCAGTAATTGCCCACCTCCTCGCCAGGAGGGAGCCTACAAATCAGAAGAATTAGGTGAAAGGTACAGGATAGCAAAAGGACAGGCACAGAGGCAGTGTGTGGAAACTGCCAGAAAACATGAGGTTAATAAATGCCCACTTCCTCCCAGGCTGGAGCCAAAGCACAGGAGGAACAAGCAGAGGGTGCACAGGAAGGGACTGGGAGAGGGACAGGGAGGGGCAGGCGGGAGGGTGAAGAGAGGTGAGGAGGCTTCCACTGCCTACAGT